CCATGTTTCAAAAAAACCTTAATTATGACTTAGATGCCCCATCTAGGCTCTTGCAGCAGAAGAGACTCTTTTCTTCCTTGCACTCAGTTTGAGAACCAGGGTGAAAATGCAATACACAGAGTGAATTAAAGCACAATGATCTCAAGGTGATTTAGTAGTGAAAGAAAGCAAAAACTAATTAGGATGTGCACATTAGTTTTTCTCTGTGGTACCTACTGACTAAAATAATGCACTTTGTGAAAATACTGTTATGTAGCTTGTTACCTAGATGCAAAGTCTGTTATTTTCCCCTTGGGTTGGCAGAGGCTGATGGAGAAATTACATTTCAGACATTCAGTATTTATTTTTAATGCTAACATTTTATCAAATTGCTAATGTTACTGAGACATTTAACAATCAAGAACATTCCACCTTGCATTCCAACCGAAAAAAAATTGCATTTACTTGAAAATTGTCTGTGTTTAGAATCACAGAGACTTAGTTGGAAATTACTTCAATCTAAATCTGTAAGACACATTTCCAAGCTGCTGTGGTAATATCAGCTGCACTTATACTGCCACAGTCCAAGGAAAATTTACAAGAAAAATTAAATTCTTCAGTGAATTTACAGTGCAATATTCATCATGCCTATTTAGAAGCAAACCCCATCATGTTCAAATGGGGGAACTGTGTATGTATGGGATTGCAGCCTTTGGAATATAGCACCTTGCCTATGGTACCTATGTGTGCTCTCATTTAGGAACCTTACAAGGCCAGATCTGCTAAGCAGCACTTGTTGAACTTAATAACTTAATTTTACAGTGTACTGGTCCTGACTGCTAGAGAGGGGATGCATAGAAATTCACTGCAAAATAAATAATTAAATATTACGTCAGGGAGAAGTCTGTGCTAGTTTTCCTAAGGGAAAACAATCAAAATTACAACCACCCCTGTCCACCTGCAGTTTGAAATTAGCACATGAATATCCAGTGGCCTGGTCACTTTTCTTTATGCTTTTGTTTAAACCTGTCCATCAAAACAAGCTATACAGTAGCTGCAAATTGCAAAGCAATAGCAGCAAATCAGCCAGCAACAAAGACATGCTATATATGCTGTAAACAAGGTACGAAAACTAAGAAAATCCACAACCATTCATAAACATATGTGTTTACATAGAGAGAGCAAAACAAAAAAACAAAAAAGTCACATTTGTTATGGTTTGAATGCTTGGTACCCTGATACATAATTTTTAAATTAAATAATTGAGATTACAAAGTAGAAAACTAAAAGTTATATTTCTTGCTTCCAGTGTATTCTGTGGAGTAAGTAGTACCATAAGCAGGTATTTTAAAATTTATTTTAAAGACCTATACCCCTATCTTTTAAAGAAGGTAAACTCTAAGATGGCTTGTATTTCTTTACCAATCTAGCTTCTCCAAACATAGGTCTCTGCCCCGTTGTTTTCCCATTTCAATCTTCCTAAAAGCATTTCTGTCTCAAGCAATCATCCTGTCATAGATATAAACTATTTAAACTGATTCCCCCCACCTTTCAGGCCACAAAGGTGGAAAAGGTGTTGGCGTATCAGGAGCTGGGCTAGTAAAAATATTTCGGGCCGATCATCTTTATGAAACTATTTGCAGTAGAACGTAGTAATAGACGTAATAGGAACATAGGAATAGACGTAATGAAAATCAGACATAGGACAGGAAAGGTGGGTGGGGGGGAGGAAAAAAGCCGCCAAGTGTGTCTGAATGTGTCTAAGAACGCTAAGAGCAAAGTCCTCTCGAATCCCGGAAGCCCTCTGCCTGACGTCACAGGGTATTAACACGCCGTTACCCTCTTAATGAATGACGTCTCCATTAATGGTTATTACAGCAGCAAGAATTGACTTCAGGAGGAGAAGGAAATAGCTTTGGCTTGCGGATTTGAAGTCGGGTTCCAAGAGGTCTCCTTGGGGAGCGCCTACGCCCATCCCACTTTCGCTTCCTCGCACTTCCCACCGTTTCTGGGAAGTGCAAAGCCTCGGCTGAGAAACGGCGGAGACGATCTCCCTCTCGAAGCGCCTCCAATTTCCAAGACCCCCCCCCCCCAAAAAAAGCCATCCGCCGCCCTTGTGAACTTTCCGCTCTTCGGAAGAAGGCGACCCTCAACGTCGCTTGTCCGATTGCCTGCGCGGGCAGGAGCCATTTTGAGCAGCGGGGAGAAAGCCGAAGCGAGCCAAAACTTGGGAGCCGGCCGGCTTCCTTATCAGCCGCGGCGCGCGGTCCGCGGCGGCAGCAGATCACGAGGAAGGCGCTTCCCCGTGAAAACCCCGACCCGGGTGCCGCGGGAAGGGGGACCCCGCTCCCCACCAGTCCCAGCCAGCGGGGCCGGGGGGAGCTGCTGCTGCTGGGAGCCCCCACAACCCCCGAAGGAGGACTCGCTCCAGAGATCCTGGCGCTTCCCAACCCGGGGCCGCTTCGCCACGCGGGGCAACTTTCCCGCGGGGAGTGAAAGGCGGCGCAGTAAAAACAATGGCTCGCGGGGAAGGCAGGAGCGCGCCGCTCGGCACTTCTGCTGCCGCTGCCCTGCGCCCAACTCGCGAGGAGAGCGGCGCTGCCTTCTGCTCTCCGCTGCTGCCCCGGGGTTCCCGCTCTCACTGCCCGTCTTCACTCACCACCTGAAGCGCCAAGGCCGTCAACAGCACCGCCGCTCTCAACGCCACCGCCATAGCTCCAAATGGGACGCAGAAGCACTGCGCCTCTGAGCTGCGGAAGCGCCCCGCCCCGCTCTCAATTGGGGAGGAGCAACTTCAGCCCTGCCCCTTGAGAGCTGATATTGGGCCGTTTCCTCTCTTTCCAATCCCCCCCCCGCCCGCCCGCGCGGAAGAAAGTTATTAGGAAGTTGCAAGAAAGAGAATCGGGGCCGGGTTCGGGGTTTCCCCCACCCCCCCGGAGAGGGAATGTGTAGCCTTAGCCCTATCTGGTAAAAAAGAAATAAATAAAAGGAATCGGGGATCATTTATCCGTGAGAGATGGCGTGAGATTTCTGGCCGCAGCCCTCATACCCAAGTTCTCAATGGCCCGCGCTCTTTTTCTTTGTGCTGTCCTTTTCATTTAATAAGATTAGCAGACCGCTTGGTTGTGAGAAACTCTATGAGCAGCTTACGGAAATAACAGAATAAAGCATTGCAATTTGGGATTAATAAACAGCTGAAACAGGAGATGGGAGAAGGCGGTAGGTGCGCAGCAGGCTCTTCTTTACACACATCTCCCCCCCCCCCCCCAGAACGTGGAGAGCAAGAGGCAAACCTGGCAGGCTAGCTATGGGGCGGGGAGGGGGAGCATGAACAAGGGGCCTGTCCATTCCTTTGCCAGTATTGATGCCTGTAATGTGTAGGGTAGCTGCAGGGACGGGGAGGTGGGAGCAGCCTGCGAAGTGATGGTGCCCCTCCTCTTCCAGGGGAGTATTTTACCCAGGGCTCCCTCAAACCTAACAGCACCCAGGTTGGGCAGGTCGAGAGAGGGAGGAAGCAGGGCTCGTGATACTGTCAGGGTGTGGTCCTGATTGAATCAGGCAACAGGATTGACTCAGCCTCCAAAGGAGTTTTATAGCCCAGGGCACGTTGGAAGTAAGACATCCTCTTTTCCGTACCAATGGAGGGAGGTGGCCAGACGAAATGCGAGAAAAGCATTAAAGTGCTCTGGCAGTACTCAGAGGGCCATTTGTGCGAACTGCTCTCCAGTTCCTGCCCTTCACTCCATGCACAAATATCAACACGCAACGGTCCCCCACCTAACCCCCAGACTATTTCAAGAGGGGTGGGGCAAGTGGTCCAGACTTTGTCTATTCTGGTTCAACTCATTTGGTTGTAAATTTCTTTTAAAAAATCGGGCATGGGGGAGAGTGGAGGACAGAAGCGGCAGAGTATATTTCTGGGTTGGTGAGTTGTGTCCCAATTGTTAAGATCTCTGAAAGGAAAATACGAGTTTTGTTTGCTTGGTTAGAGCCCCCAGAGTAGCTTACGTACAACCAAAACAAGCCAGTCCCTACCCACAGGCTTACAATCTAAAAAAACCTGACTGTTTTGATTTTTACACCATACCTATATTTGACCTTTGTATTCTAGGTTGTAAATTGCCTCATGGTCTTGTGATGAGCAGTATATTAACTTAATGAGTAAGATTAAGAATAGTAGCATGACAGGGCTTTCCCATCTCTCCTCCCCCTGCACATGCCCCCGCCCCAACTGGGGTGTGTGTGTGTGTGTGTGTGTGTGTGTTGAGAGAACCCCCAGAACAGTGCGCAGGGAGAGGGGAGGTGGTTCCATCAGATGAGCACCAATGGAACAATTGTCTTAGAACAACATTGAATTCCATCCATAATTACTAACATAGAACATTCACTGGCCCCCTTCCATAAGGTTCAAGACAAGGTGCAGAAAAATCTTCCCAGTCTAGCAGGTTCATGGCAGGCTCACCATCTTTATTTGAAAGGCAAGTCACATCTTTTGGGGATCCTGCCCACTGCAGACCTTGGAGAAGCCTCCTCTGGAGAGGCAGGGTGGGACCCTAGGGAGAACCCCAGCAGTCCTGGCAGTCTCAAGGTGGTCCTAAAGTGCCTCAACATGGTTGTCTCACCTGGATCCTTTCATATGCCATCTGACCACACCCAGATACTCCACCTTTGCTTCCTGAGCTTCAGGGCGGAGAGAGGCAGTAAACCCAGGGGGAATCCCTGAGTGAGCAAGACCAACCTGTTTGATTGTCCAGAATGTTTTATCCTTAGCAGCTTTCTTGAAAGGAAGGAGATGATGCAACCGTAAGTGACCAAGAACAGGAGTAAAGAGAGACTGGACTGGCAGTGAGGACATTATTTTCTCAGTCTTCTCTGCAGCCTTGTTGAGTCGACAGCTCTCTAACTCAGCTCCAGATCCCACACTTTGTGCTGCTTATGAACACCTATGCTCTCTTTGCAGCCACCACCTAAGACAGGAAACTGCAGAATTTCAAAAGGGCAAAACAAGCTTCATAGGACAATTTCTTAGTATAAGAAGGTTTTATTACTTGAAAGCAATGTAACTGAAAAACTTAACTGGCTATTAAGTAATAAAGTAAAGTTGTTCTGTACAGTTATAGAAGCCTGCAGACGGAGGTTTAATGGGCTATTTCAAACAACATTAGCTATTCCACACTGCAATTCCTGTCCCTGAGCTGGTGTCCTATCTATAGTGTTGACATAGGTACTGCTTTACAAAGGAAATGCTTCAATTGGAAGGAGTTCTCTATTTTGAATGGCCGTCTGATCGAAGTCCAGTTTATAAAGATATATAACACAAAAAAGGAAGAATAGGGGCCTTGAAGTTGCCCATCTATAGTTTACATCTAGAAAACAGACTGAACAAATGAACAGGTCAATGTTCCTTGCTATTGTGGGACAGATCCTTTTTTTCTATTGAAATGGTGGCTACCGTTTCTGAATCTATACATGTAAATTAGCTTATGCAAATCTGTGTCTTCTTCTGTGGTGATAAACATTGCCAAAAATGAGGAAATGTAAGTGGTCACTCTACCTACCTGTCCATTCTCACCATTTTACTTCTTTGCCTCCCCCACGAAGAAATTCCTCTGGGCCACTTTCTCTTAAAAGTCCCACCCTCTTCTCCTAAGCCTTCCTTAGCCTCCTGCCTTCTCAGTCATCAGGTGCTTGCTTCCTATGTCCTTGCATCTTATTAGACTATTTTGCCTGCTTTCCTATCTCTAGTACCTAAGCACTTCGACTAACAGCATCCACAGGCTTTGCTGCCTGCCCTGCTTCTGTGGTAGGAGGCCAACTCAGTCAATTACAGACAGAGGCTTTGCCACATCCACTACAATTATTTTGCTGCATTAAAATATAGATTTGATTACTGGTGGAAGAATGTAAGGAGTTGCCTTTGCTCATGGCAAAAATAAAAAGTGGCTTGAGTTTGTGAAAAATAAAAACGTCACCTTTAAATTCATTTCAGCTGGTAACACCCCACAACAGTCAGCATATGGTACAAAAGATAACACATTCCACTTATAAAGGAACAACTACAAGTCCCAAATGCTTCCAGGCAAAGTAGCTGCAGTTGACAAAATACTGGAGTTTGAAAGTATCCAGGATAATTCTCCATTAAGTGTAGATGTTATCAATTTCATTTGTTGTCACCACTTTTCTCAATATTTCTGTGCTTCTTGAAATGTCCTAGGTAAAAGAAAATAGAAAAAAAAATCCAGTGAAGGTAAGAATGCATTAATAACTGCCTATCGTATTTCCTTATTCTTGGCCACTCAACTTTTCAAAACGAACACACACAACCCTCTGTATACTACATATGAAATGTAGCATCCATATTCTGTTCCAGGACAACCATATCCAGTTCTTGCTATGGAATGCAACTTGCGAACCAGCTGGTTCCGCTTCACACTTTTGTAACTAATTAATTGATCATAGGCAGGTAAGAATGAACAAAAATATTCAACTGAGCACACAGTGGATCATTAAAGAATGTCAGGAAAAGTTCTGCAGGATTAGACCAAAGACCTACCTAATCCAGTATTCTGTGCTCACAGTGGCCAACCAGATGCCTGTAGAAATCTTACAAGCACGACATAAGCTCAATAGCACTCTCCCTTCTTATATCTCCTGTAACCAGCAGGAATTTAAGTGTGCTTAATTGTGCACTGGATTGCAGCAGTATTCCTCCAGTTAATTTTCCTTCCACTTTAGCGTTGTGGGAGGAACCCTTGTTCTGCTGTGTGTTCATCAGCACAAGCTCAGGGTGTGGACTGCTTGGTACCATATAGTCGTCTTTCATTTCAGTTTGACGGTTGCTAGCCTCATCCACTTATTGAGCCTAGTTTGAGGAACCAATAACTCAATATCATAGTGGAAATATACTCAGATACTTTGGCAGTCATTTACATTAAACCAAAGCAAACTCAACTAAGCAAAGGAAGCACAGGACAGAAACCATTAACTTTTTGTGTTGTTGTTTTTTAAAAGCTGCAGTTTCTGCAAGAGCTTCAGGATTTAAAAAAAACCCAGCAATGTTTTGAGTTAAAGTTTACATTTAAGACTGGATTATCACAGATTTTCTCTACAGCTTGAGGACAACTCTAGCAGTCATCCCGTGGCTAGAAAGGATGAGAAAAAGCAACACATAACAGCACAGCCTACCTGTGACCTCAATTTCATTTCTTGCTCGCACTGAAGGGTGATTGTACTGATTGTTTTATGTTGCAAGACATTTTGTGCAAGCCAAGCTGAGTGCCACTCATTTTGAAATAGTTGTTAGATCTTTGTTCCAAGGGCATTTCTACACCAGAGACACTAACTGGTTAACAGTCATTCCCTCTGTCCTGGGGAAACCAGAAAACCGTAGTTCTGCAAGTGGGATAGAAAACTCAAACAGAGAATTTGTAGTCTGTGTACCAAACTACAGTTCCCAGGATTCTTCAGAAGCAACAGCAGTTAAAACTGGTGTGAAAATAGACATTTGTTGGCAGGTGTGGTTAACTCTAAATTATTCTGTTATGTGGCCTATGGAAGAAAGTCCAGTGACAAGCTTTTATCCTTTGAATTACGAAGTGCATGGATGTAGGTAGTTTTCGAACATGACCTAAATATGGATTTTGATCATAAACCCTTTGTTGTTGCCTAGGTTCAAACATGAGAGGAGAAAGCCCAATTAAAGTAAAAAAAATAAATCTCAATGTAAACCAATTTATATCCCAACCAGGTGTAAATCAAAGCCAAAGACAGCATCTCACAAAGTCAAACAAGCAGCTAAGCAAATGTTTTAAGCACTCAACAAGGGAAACCCCTGACACACAGTAATCCCTAATCTGCATTCACAGCTCCTTTCCTAACGCCCAGAGGCAGAAAATTTCAGTACCATGGAAGTGACTCAAAAGCAATACAATGTTGCTGGGATGCTTCAGGGCTCGTACCCACAAATACAACAAAGTGGCCCTTCTGGGAATTGAATTCCAAGTGTCCTTATGCCTCTGAATACTAGTTTCTGGAGAGTGCTGATGAAGTTTGGTCCTGCTTGCTGGCTTCCTGTAGGCACCTGATTGGCTACTGTGAGAACAGCTGGATTAGATGGGCTTTTGGTCTGATCCAGCTGGCCTCCTCTTAGGTCCCTTCACAGCAGCTGTTGTAGTGACCAGTCTGCAGACAGGCAAGCTGAAATAAGGCCACATATAGGCTTAATAATTGAATCTTACCTTCACCAAACCCTTCAGGATTCTGGAAGATAGCAAGGGCTCGAAAGCTTCAATTGTTACCAAATCCAGTTTGATGATATCAGTGTAACACTGATAAAGCACTGCAGGGATCTGCCACACTTGACAGTAACTGAGAACTAGGCACAATTCAGGAGGCAAGAGGGGAGGGGGGGGAGAGAGAGAGAGAGAGAGAGAGAGAGAGACTAGTAACCTGCTTTTGCAGTGGTAATAAATCAGCAACATGCTCAGTTGATCAAAATGAATCATACATTAAAAAACAACAACACCTTATTGTTATCTGCAAGCATATTGTAAGAAATTCACAACAAATCACACATGTTAACAACTATTTTTTTCTGGAAGCATGTCATGAGAAAAAAAAAGGCCAACCAACACTCTAGGTCAGAGTTACATAGCCTTAACGCAATGTTCAAGGCACTGTCACAGAACCAGCGTTGTAAGGGACCACAGAGGTCATCAAGCCCAGCTTTCTGCTCCGTGCAGGATTTGCAATGCACAGTGCGATTGCAGCATTCCTGTAGTCTATTAAGCAAATCATTTGTTCCTGCCTGGGTAGATGGTGTAAAGCTGTTGCTTTGCCAATAAAACGCATTTTATAAAGACAGGCTGGTGCCATTACTGCCACTTGCTGTAGCAGCAGAATATCTTACGGTATTGAGGAGGATAATTCTATTGGTGCCCATCAGTCTGAATGGAATTCCAGCCAACTTCTTGTTACATGCTCCACACTTCCCCCAACAGCGAAAAATTACAAGGGCAACACTAGCTGCGGTAAGCTCCCTTTGGAGGAGAAAATTCTGAATATTTCTGGCATTTTTGTAATATTTGTTCATTTTCTTTTTAAAAAACACCATAAAAAGTGGAGGCAAACAGCACACATTCCTGCCAGGCAGCAGATTAATTGCTCCACATTAGTGCCTTCAACCTTCCAGCAAAAGTGCAATTCACTCTGACCTCTTGCTCTCCCCCCCTGCCCCCCCAATAAATTGCTTTTGTTGATTCACAGCACACCCCTCTCCTCTGCTAGGGCTTGTGCTTGCACATGCATGGGTCACCTTCCAGTTCTGGCTTTCCCATGCAAAACACTGAAGGAAAATTCTTCAGCTCTTTCCTAACAATTAGCTCCCACTGAGAGAACATCCACCAGTCATTCAAGACCAGATAAAAAGCAGCCACAACATTATACTTATTTATTCCAGGACTATATACAAACCACCTTTAATCAATGGTTTGATAAAAACAACCAGCTTATAAAGTGCACCATTAATAGTATGAAAGGCTATATATATATATATGAAAATGGTAAAAATGTTTTTTAAATGCCTGAAAGCATCAAAAGGGGTTTTTGCTTGGTGCCTAAAAGACAGCAAAGTTGGTGCCAGGTGAATCCGTCCTTGAGCAGGACACTTCATAGCTGAGGTACCACTATAGACATTTATTCAACTTAAGGTTTTGCATTGTTAAATACCTGCAGCAGGGAGGTCCCGTGCAATATTTGGCTGTTCTAGTAGTGAAGAACAGACTTTATCTTTGAACATGCTTGTCTTTAATGCTTTCAGAAAAGGAGAAGGAAGTGTTAGAGTTGATTCTGTTGTTTTATATTCCGTAACAGAGCAGGTTGAAAGAACAAGCACTTGCAAATCCGTCTTCTGCATGCATCCAAAAACCTAGGATGAAAGTGTAAATCCCGATTTAAGTGCGAGGTGCTGGAGCCAATTCACACATACCAGCAGTGTTACAGGAGCCTCCAGCACTATTGTGGTTCTTCCCCATGATATCAACCCTTAAGGGCAAATGTGGGAAGCCGCAATGGCAACATGGCACTCATACCACTGCTGGTCAATCAACCTTTGGGCCACAGTCTTACACTCCCTCCTCCTGAGTAAGCCTCATTGAAATCAAGAGGGCTTATTTCTGAGTAGATTTGTAAAGGATTGTTCTACTAGTGTCTGTAGCAGCATGAGTCCTGTGGCACCTGAGAGACTCAATGAATCTGCAGAAGCTTTCTCTGCAATTTAATTGACTTCATCGGTAACATTCAGTCCCTGTAATTCACACATTCATATTCCTTCAGCCCATAACTGAATCCCAGATTGGAGAAATGCCACAGCACCATGATCTACACTATCTTGTACAGTCTAAGGGGCAATGCCAGCTTGAAGATGTCCTATGCAACATCATATATTTTTTTTCGAGGAACAGATGCCAATGCACCGATGTCAAAGTGCCAAAAGGCCTCTGAGCAAGTGTGCTGAAAAGGAGGTTATCAGCTTTTGTAGGCAATATCCTCCTCCGTTCAGAAGATAATGCGGAGGATTTCTGTTTGCAACAGGCTGGATTCAACACAGTTGCAGGTAACAAATCAAGCCAGTGTGGTGTAGCGGTAAGTGTCAGACTAGGACTTGGGAGACCAGGATTCAAATTCCCACTCAGCCAACAAGTTCACTGGGTGGCCTTTGAGCCTGTCACTATCTCTTAGCCCAACCCCTCTCACAAGGTTGTTGAGGGGTTAAAATGAGGAAGGAAAGAACTATATATGTCACTTTAAGAGCCTTGAAGAAAGGGTGCAATATCACTAACAACAACGACTGGCAAAGCTGAATAACAATTCCAACCAATTTTCCTTTTAGGATGCTGCCTGGTAAACAATTATTCTTACTGTTTGGCCCTTGATACATTATGTCAATGTTTTACCCAGTAAAACAGACATACAATGACCAGTGAACAAATCAGCAGTACATTTATTTACAGTGCAATCCTATATAAGTTTACTCTGAAGTATGTCCTATGGAATTCAGTGAGACTTATTCCTAGATAAGTATGTATAAGACTGCAGCCCAGAATCTCAGATCCATTACTTCTCTTATCCACAGTATGGACTCACAAAACAAGGGGACTCTTTCACCCTTGCACTTTGTATCAGGGTTTGAAACTCCCATTGTTCTAGGTGCATTTTGCGACAGGGAATTTCATTAGCGCACGTGATTTCTGAGCTCTGGGCGCAGTACTGCGCCTAAGATTTCAGATTAAAACTGCAGAGTGGAAGGAAAGGAAGACCTTTTTCTGCCTCCCTATTTCCAGCTACTCTCTGAAGACTGCAGAAGAGACCTCCTAAGAATATTAGGGGGACGGACAGGGGAAGGACTAGACCATGTGAGAAATGAACATAATAATTTAACTGCAGTTCATTCATTTTCAGCTTTGTATTCTTGTTATAAAAATGCACGCCTAGACATTCCCCTGTTGTGCCCATAACCTAGGATTACAGTGCCACTTAGCTCCTAGCTTTCATATATCAGTTTCTAACACTGCTTTGTATCCCGATTTCTTCTACTTCTTACCTTTTCAAGCCACTGAAACTGCTGGTCCTCTGCCACGTAACAACTGCACTGGCACAATAAAACCTGAAGTGACAGAACAGTCATAAATGCTTCATGAATTTTAAACAGAACTATGTTAATATATATATAGCATGAAAAGTAATTATGATAACCGAAAGCTGTAATCTCACAGGCACTTTCCAGGGGGCTCCACTAAAGACAGTGGAACTTGGGGAATAAACGTGTATAGGATTGTGCTGCACATCACACTTGATCTTGGCTAATCCTACAATGGACACACCCACAGACAACAATTGTTACTGTAAGGCTCTTTCTTCACTGACCAATAAGACAAAAGGAAGAGGCTGTTACTGAATGGTGGTGGAGCACATGGTTTGCATACAAATCTAGGCTGAGTCAGTTTGAAGGAGCTGCATGTGTTTGTAACAAGGAATACCATATTACAATCTCTCATTACTTACACAGTACTAAAGGCCACATCTAAAGTTATGCATACTATGTAGCTAATATGAAAGCACGTGACTGTTCAAAAGCACTTGCATGAAAGCAGACTGCTGGTGTTCTAATTCTTAAACACAAGGATAGGCAAGAAGATTCAATGCAAACACTAATGCAGGGCTGGACAGTCTAACTTTGCCGTCTCCAGCACCAAACCACATCAGTTAAATACCAAGATATCATCAGGTAACAAACTCAAGTCTGATTCCATAAGCTCTGGGAGGTATCCAATGAATGCATTATGTCAGTGCAATGATTTCCACTTGTGCCACGGGACTCCCTAAATCTGCTCTGGAGGGTTGGGAGAACCGCTGGAACAGATTTATAGGGCATGTGGGAGCAGAGAAGGTGGAAAGTACAGCTGCCGAAGACAAAATCCCTGAACTGACAGGGTGCTTAATGCTACGTTGGGGACAACTCTCTATCTTACTTACTGTGGGATCTGAAATCAACCGATAGAACAAACAGAAGGAATCTGTTGGAAGGACTTTGGTCGTATTTGATGTTCTGCACCACTCATTCCACAATTTGACAGATCCAACGACTTCCCAGCCTCCAGAACTCAAAACAAAGGAAGACAAGAATGCTGCAAGCAGAAATGAGATTTATTTCCTATAGCACTGTTATGTTCTGCACATTGTTCGTAACCACCATTGCTATGTGGAAGTGGAGTGATGCAACTCAGTTTATGTAGGCAGCTTCCCTGTAGATTATTTAGTGAATATACACAGAAATAGAAAGAAAATAAGATAAACAGTATTTTTGGTTTCCATAGAATTCAACTGGAGGGAGGGGGTTAAGGTAAACATGGCTACTAAACTCAGTTACAAAATACCTAACAAATTATAAGGTTGCACACTATTTTCTACACATCAAAAAGTGATAATTTGTCTAATCCCCCTTTAAACCCATCGGAGCTAGTGGTCATCACTACATCCTGTGGGAGCAAATTCCATAGTGTAAGTATGTGCTGAGGGAAGTACTTAATTTTGTCTATCCTTAATCTTCCTACATTCAACTACATGGAAGTTCTACTATTACAAAATATAATAGCAGATGCATAATCTTATACATCTCTATCATTCCCTGCTTAAAGGTAAAGGTAACCCTGACCATTAGGTCCAGTTGTGGCCGACTCTGGGGTTGCAGCACTCATCTCGCTTTACTGGCCGAGGGAGCCGGCGTTTGTCCGCAGACAGATTCCGGGTCATGTGGCCAGCATGACTAAGCCGCTTCTAGCGAACCAGAGCAGCGCACAGAAACGCCATTTACCTTCTCGCTGGAGCGGTACCTATTTATCCACTTTCACTTGACTTGCTTTCGAACTGCTAGGTTGGCAGGAGCTGGGACCGAACCATGGGAGCTCACCCTGTCACAGAGATTCGAACTGCCAACCTTCCGATCGGCTAGCCCTAGGCTCTGTGGTTTAGACCACAGCGCCACCTGCGTCCCTTATGCCCTGCTTACAGGTTGTTAAACACTGAAATGAAGAACACATACAGATTGCCTACCTACTGCATTATGCCCTACAGCCAATACGAACTTTGAGCAAGGAAACTGCTCGTTATTAGATGCAGTAGATGTTGAATTCCAGAGGATGTGAACTTCCCTGAATACAGAAACAAAACGAAAACAGAACAAGGTTAAACATACCCTGAGCAAGAAGATGGCACCATTCCAGCGAAGTGTTATTTGTACAATTGAGATAAATATAGATGTATCCACTGTTCACAGTACTATCACTGATCAAGGGGCATAGGCTGCCATCCTAACCATGTCTATTCAGAAGTCCCACAGAATTCAGTGGGTTTCAAGTCTCAGGTAACTGGGGTTAGGATTACAAGCTTAGTTCTCCACTCATCCCTAGAGAGCAATTAGTAGGCCAATAGCCTATAAAAGGATTCCCAACCCATTTGTGTAAGGAAATCAAAAGGAGAGAAGATTAAAAACATGACAGGAAGTTCCGTGGGTTTTTGGGGGTGGTAGTGGTTGCTACACAATGCAGCCAAAGAGGATAGAGCGGAAGAAGGGCCTCTATAAACCTTTCTCCACATACTGTCCTATTCTACTGAAACTAACCCATTCCCCAGACTCTCTTTACTCCTGCCGGGTGAAAAGTAAAATGAAGGAGAATCTGTATGGGAGCCTCTTTGTAAGGAGTAACCAAGCACATATCTCCCCCCAAAACCCAAGCCTGTCATTTCTCCTACACTTCTGTTGGTCATCACTGTCTTAAGAGTAAGGTTACTAGACATCCCCATTTCCTGGGGACAGTCCCCAGATTTACAAATCAGTCCCCTGACAAAATCCATCTATTTAGCAGGAAGTTGAAGCGTGCCCTGGATTCATTGAAAAAAATCTGGCAACCTTACTTCAGAGGGCAGGTGTGGGGGAACGTTTTTGTCAATCCAGATGTTGCTCAACTACAACTCCCTGGCTGTGTCTGATGAGAGCTACAGTTCAGCCACATCTGGAGGGCCAAAGGTTACCCACATCTGTCACAGAGCAACGGCCCCCAAAACAACAGGCTGGCGCAAGTAGATTCGCGTTACTCCTCCGAAAGGGGAAGGGCGATGGCAACAGGTGTTCACACCTATTGCACTGGGAACCACACAACACATTCTGAAGATACAAGTCATAGCCCACCCTCCCCTTGTAGAAACTACACACATCTGGGCCTGGCCAGTGCCTAGATGGCAGTCCATCCCCGGAACGCCACTAGACTAGAACGAAAGAAGGGATATAAACAAATGTACATATCAAGTTCAATTAACTCTAACGTCACTGACAACCATTCTAGGCTAGGTTACCACACGACCCCTTCAGCTGAGGTTTGGTTCCCGCCTCCGGCTGAAGGTCGCGCCCGCCTGCCTAAGGGAAAGCTGCAACGATTTCGCTGCGGCGGGAAGGCACTCTTCACATGCCCAGAAGTGCCCCCGTTGTTACGTCACGGGTTGCAAGGGACCAGAATGTTTTTAGGGCTTTTTTGGTTTTTGTCCCCCCGCCTGCCCGCAGGAGCTGAGAGCCTCGACTCTGCCGGAGCGTTTCCCATCCCTCCTCGTGCCTGCTTTCCAAGCGCCTCCTCCGCCTCCCGCCCGCCCCGGACGCCACCTTTTCTTCTCCAGCTGCTGGCGAATCTCGCGATCTTCCGGTGTCTCCTCGCGCTCCAGGGCCGCCGCCTCCTCCTCGTCGTCGTCGTCGTCGTCGCCAGCGCGGGACGGAGGCGCCACCACCTCGCCGAAGAACGTGGCCATCATCTCCCCCCGGGCAGCTCAAGTAAGAGCGGCCGCCTCGCTCAGCCCGCCTGCCTGCCTGCCGAGACACGCGCCGGGAGCCCTTCCGGGTCACAGCGACCGGCAAGGAAGGAAGGAAGGACGGCCCGGGCCGGGTGCTCGCTCGGGTCGCCTCCGTGTAGGAGGGCGCTTCTTTGGGGCGGAGGCCCGTCGGGTTTGGCAGGAGGCCCCTGCCCCTCCCCCGCGAAGCCCCGCCTTACCCGGCAGCGGCAGCAGCAGCAGTGTAGGTTTTTTTTTTAATTAGGTTTTACAGTTTTATATTCAACATAAACATCATAAACAATAAAGAAAAATACATTATTACAAATCTCCACCCCCCACCCCGTGACTTCCCTCAACCTCCTCTTCTGGTTCTTTAAATATTTGCTACTTCTGCTTACTTTGTTTTACCTTACTTTTAAAATCTTTTAACTAAATGCTCTTATATTCTTATCATCTTTATACCATATTTTTTCAAATTGCATCCTACACTTGGTTATTTTCCGAATTATTGCTCCTTAACTTTTACACTTGTTAGTTGTGTTTACTCAAACGCTGCCAGTGAGTCCATTTCTTTACAACATTTCTGTAGCTACAACATAAACGGTTCCCAATCTTTTTTGAAGTCTCTATTGTCTTTATCTCTTAGTCTTCCCTTGCGTATTCCATAGTTTTAGCTTGCCAGTCATCTTTCGTTGGTATCTTGTCATCTTTCCATTTTCGGCTAGTAAAATCCTAGCTGGACGCGGGTGGCGCTGTGGGTTAAACCACAGAGCCGACTTGCCGATCAGAAGGTCGGTGGTTCGAATCCCTGCGACGGGGTGAGCTGCCCCCCTGAACCAATAAAAATATATAGCAAACTGAGGTCCTGCCCCCCAAACAAAAGGCCTGCCCCCCAAACAAAAATCTTGGCTACGCCCATGGTGCCCAGGAAAACAAAATTGTCCTTGTCCGGTGCTGAAATGATGACAAAGTTGGCACCAGGTTAGCCTTTCAGGGACAGCATCCAAGGGGGGAGGGGTACTACTGCTCTGAGGTTTGTTGGAAAAGACTGTCCTTGGCTATAGGGATCCTAAGCCATAGAATAATAGAATTGTAGCGGAAGGAAGAAACACCTTTGTTTTGAATTCCACTGTCATTCCAATCATAGTACAGTACCTGGTTTTAGATTATAGCTACTGTATTTTTGCGTCTATAAGACGCCCTCTATTTTGGGGGACTCAGATTTAAGAAAATGGGGGGAGATGGCCCAGAGTATAAGATGCCCCCTAATTTTTGACATTATTTTTTAGGGGGAAAACCTAGTCTTATACACGGGAAAATATGGTATATTTATCTCCTTAATAAATAAACCCAACCTTTCCAACAGAATAGTGCTCAAGGCAGCAAATACATATATTTATCATTTAAAAGTGGCACCCCAGTAAGACAACACAGCAGTTGGCAATGTGGAATCCAAGTTGAAGTACAGCCCATAAGCAATCGCTTTAGGCCCTGACTCTTTGGATTTAAAAACTAGCTCAGTATCATCCTCTTACTCAACCCCCCCTTACCTACCCCATGGAAAACTTTGTGTGGGAGCTCGTCTTGAATCTGCACAGCCATGCTTGTGCAACAGCTACACATGCACAGAAGACCCAAGAGAGCATTCCTGCAACACATAAGCATCACCGTGACACAAAGCACTGTGTTTTGGGAATCAGGATGCCAGTTTGTCATGCATGTGTAAGATTTGTAGAACTACTCCCAAATAATAAGAGTATGGCCTGATGGCACATGAAGGCATCACCTTGTAAGTCTGGATCCAGTCACTGGCTAGGAGACCTTGATGATCAATATGTATACAATCTTGGCTTCCATACTGGGAAAAGTTGGGATATAATGTAAGGAAATGAAACTTAAAATGGCACATTAGATACCAGGAAGGGTTTAAATTGGGTGTATTCTGAATATTGTCATGTCTGCTGTCAGGTAGACCATTCTGAATCGGTGAGGGCCACATTTTGCCCCCTCAGTTGAAGTTTCCCAACCCTGACTTATATAATACAAATCTGTAAACTACCACTAGATGTCCTAGCAGTGATTCAAAGTACTCCAGTGGAACAACGGGAAGAATTACTGTGTTCTGATACTTGCCACAACAACTGGAGTGCAGTCATTTTAGACAATTTCTAGGAGCTCACATTTGCTTTATACAGTGGTGCCTCGCAAGACGAAATTAATCCGTTCCGCGAGAGTCTTCGTCTAGCGGTTTTTTCGTCTTGCGAAGCAAGCCCATTGACGGATTAGCGCTATTAGCGCTATTAGCGGTTTAGCGGCTATTAAAGGCTTAAAGGCTTAGGGGATTAGCTGCTAAAAGGCTATTAAAGGCTATTAAAGGCTTAGCAGATTAGATAAAGGGGGAAAGCGAAAAAAATCTCAAGACTCGCAAGGTATTTTCGTCTTGCGAAGCAAGCCCATAGGGGAATTCGTCCTGCGAAGCAACTTCAAAACGGAAAACCCTTTCGTCTAGCGGTTTTTCCGTCTTGCGAGGCATTCGTCTTGCGGGGCACCACTGTATTCTTTGACCCTTGCATTTTTATTTTGAGTTGATATACTTTAAAAACTTTACAAAGGCTTATTTTTATTTTTAAGAAAACAGGTTGAGGTCATCATGAAGAAGTAGGTCAAGGAAATGTTTCATCCCAAGTGTCATGTATTACTGCCCTATCCTCCCATAGGTTCAAGGCATCTGTGTGTAATCCATGCTGCTGTTTTTAAAGCCAATTGTTCAATGATGCCCTGTAGTTCTAAGTTAAGATCTAGTAAATGTTCTGATCTATAGTTCTGTTACATTTCAGTCTTTCAGCAACTTTCAGCTATCCTAAAAGTTGTTTGTGAACACGCTGCTTCCCCAGATTTCTGAATTGCTATGGATCAATAATAATTGCTCAGCTCCTCACTTAACTGGAGATTAAGGCAACATGTTCCCATAATCATAAAGGGACCCTGAGTGCCATCTAGTCCAACTCCCTGCAATGTAATCATCTGTAGCCCAACGTGGGGCTCAAACCCAAGACCCTCATTTTAAGAGTCTCATGCTCTACTAACTGAGCTATAATGAGAGCTACGACACAGTAAAACACTGGGGAACCTGTGGCTCTCCAGATGTTGCTGAACTACAACTCCCATCATCCCTGACCACTGGCCATGCTGGCTGAGATTCACGGGAGTTTTGTGTCTAACAGCATCATCAGATTCCATACACTTGCAGTAGGTTTTCAGAAAATATATTCACAAGGGACCTGACTCACATAGACATCCAGCTATTCCCACTGATTCCCCAACACTATGAAGACGTATTGGGGAGTAAGGCCAACTGAATTTAATTGGACTTTTAAACAGACATGGTTAGGATTGTGCCTCAGTATACCAATAGTGTGTAAGAATAGCAGTAATTCATTGGAAGGCCAGATAATGACCAAACTTCCTGATACATGCCTCACTAAGCTAGAAAAGAAAAGAAAAGAATGCATTATCTGACACCTCGTTAGTTAAACCGTCTCTCTGCCAGAAACATTAACATGAAACAACCAGATTGTCACTCAAAGCCAATTGCTTTTCAAATGTATATGGAACAGAGAAACAGCCACTTACAAAAATTGCTGGTAAACTTCCCAAATAAAAATAAACTGTAATTACAACTTAAATTTTAGTGCATAATGTGACGCCACCATCTCTTAACGGAGATCATATGCATTATATCCTACAGTATACACCTACTTGTTCTGAAAACTCCCACCTTAATACACAAGTGATGTGAGCAGCAGAACATGTACAAAAGTCCCCAGAGCAATAATGATCCAGCCACAAAGAGGTGATAAGTGAAAGTTGTGTAATTTATTTCAATGTATCAAGCACAAACAAGTTTTCCCCTAACGGGGAACATCACAAGGAATGTAGTTAAAAATCTGGAAACATTTACATTGAAAGTTAGCCCAGACTGGCACCACCACTAAATATTTTAAGGCTGTATATATATATTTATATATATAATATCTTTATATATATATATATAGCAGTACTTACCACTTGGAACTATTTCAGGCCAGAAAAAAAGGCTTAGTACTGGCTGCAAGTCTACATAAAATATTGCAAATCTTTTAAAAATGGTGTAAAAATAGGAAGACTATCAACAGATTTGGAGGATGCAGTGGCAAACCCTTACTATTCCTGACCTTTAACCTTTAAATGTACCTAAGAGCAAACAATATACGCAGGGTGCCTTCTCACAATCACAGGATCAGTCCTATACAGGAAAGGAGGTCTCTCTGCGATACTCAGAAACAGTTGTCCCTTGATGTAAAGCACAAGGAAGATGAGCCAACTGTTGCAAGTGATCACTTCAGAAAAGTGCAGGAGCAATTGCTTGCACCTGCTCACATAACTACCCTGTATTCATCAATGGACAAAATGTCTCCCGCGTCACAAAATAAGCCCAGTGAACCCCAGAACTGTAGTGAATTTGTGACATATGAAATTACCTATATACAGAAGTGCTTCTACACCCATCTTCTTCCACCCATCATGGAATAATGGTACATTTCAGAGGCATTCCTTTATACAATGCGTGTGTGTGTGTGTGTGTGTGTGTGTGTGTGTATGTTTTAATCAATGTAAAAACATATATATATATATTAAATCAAATCATAAACAGGCATGTCTGACTCTCTGGGGCCTTATTGGTTGTGGCCTCATATTTCTTAGAAGGGCAGGATTTAAGAAATCGTGTATATTTACAATCTTGGTGGGATGGAGTGGGATGTGCTGTTTGGCATGTGAGAGCACTGATTAGAAGACCCAAGGAGAAGCTGTGCTATCGATAACCCAAGTTGGTTCAATTTTCACATGGGTGCCTAACGTTCCCTTCCATATGGGAAATTTATCAAAAGGCATCTTGATGGATTGCAAAACGCCCTTCCCCCACCCACAGAAGAGCTATAAAACAAGACACTAGGAATCGTTTTATAAAACCAAGTAGATGTGTAGAAGTGTTAAAGGGGGCACCAAATACTGGTTGGTAAATCTTAGTTGTCTCAGAAAATGACAAAACATAGAAAACAAAATTGCACAATTAAAGCTACATTTGGCTTTAGCATTAAGGCCCATACAGGTAAAGAGGTCCTTGTAGATGTACATGTAAAAAGGCAATGACATAAATCTGAAGAACAAAACTCTGCAGGCTCCCTGGTTAACCTTGTTCCCGCTTCCTCTTGCCCCCGACTGCGTAGGTATTAAAGTGCTTGGTGCCTCAGTGGGCTCCTTGCAATTAAGTCTCCCCATTCCTGCAGCTGGTCACTTGTTATTGCTGCCAAATGCAGTGCTTTTTATTTGAACACATAATTAATGAAGAGCTGACATGTTAGAAAGATGCACAGAAGAAACCAACAGCGAGAGTCCAGGAAGAGGTTTTCCGATGAGGCCCTCCTGTAGAGCGACTTTTTGTTCAGAGCAGTGAGGTTTCTGAAAGAAAGAACAACAGCCACCGCCAATCCATCGTTACTCAAAACCAGACACTGCATTTGCGCTCACAGATCAGACAGTGCCAAAACTCAGGATCAAGTTAAAATTCAGTGCCCGACATGCCTGGTAAATATTCTGGCCCCACATATTTCTTCTTGATAAAACTGTGAAGGGAAACGGAGGATTTGCCTCCTGCAGCCCAAAACCTTAGGCTTCAAAAAGCAAGAAAGTACTGCAGGCCTGAAATTTAGGGCTAGCATAAACATCTTGCCTAATTTAGAAAGAGAAATCATGCAAAGTTTTATTGTTGATTTAGATGTCAAATATTAATTGTCTATTTGAGGTATTAAAGCGCACTGGCATCTGTTTACTGTACTGACCAAAGGTTGTTGACTTAACCTTGTCAGCTTGACGTGTACTCAGACATATTCCATGGTTGTGTCTTTAACTCTCCTAACCTAGGTACAAACTGGGGAGTGGTTCTGACAAAACTCCCTTGACAAAATTATATGTAAAGAAAATACTGCAGCTGTTCTTTCCTACTGGCAGCCAACTGTTAGGAAATGCTGCACCTGCAGGTCTCCTAACGCTTGCACCAGAAAACTGATCACAATGAAATACAACAAGGTTTATTTACTCATTTCCTTTTTGTGACTACGCTGGAGCAGGGAGAGCTTTGCAAGAACTGAACTGCTAAATCATGCTTGAGCTTCACGCAGGAGTGGAAACCCTTTGGAAGTTAAGAGAAGAAGAAACGCCTTCTTGTCAGTGGGCAGCTGCAATTTAAGCCAAGATTTGAATTTGCAAAGTTCTTTTATGCAACATCGTTGGCACTGTTCCCTTTTATCTTTTTAAAAGCAGAAGAGACTTAAGATTAGTTTTCAGCTTACCCTTCCCGCCCCAACCTCAGAAGAGAAAGATAAGTCCTGAGCATCTGCCTCACCAAAAGATAGAAATAAGACACTTTTAAAAATGTGGATATATGCAATGTCTTCAGGTTTGTGATAGAAAACAGCAGAATTTGAAGGAAGCCAATCCTTGTCCAGTTTATTGGCTTTACCTTCCACATGGGTCAAAGGTCATTATTGTCATGTTTGTGTTCATGCTTGGTAGTATTCACATTTGACCCAGGCACCTGGCCCAAGGTAACCTTCCTCCTCTCTATCCCAAATTCTGTTAATAACAAGACCTTAACACTGTGGTGGTTATTTGAAGATCAATGGATTTTTTTTAAAAAGAAAAGAAATTCCATACCTGTGTATCTCCTGTTGGGCTCTCTGGAGGGATAAGACAGCAGTGTGAATTTCTTTCAAAGGGTCGGTTTCTTTCCCACACTGAGCACCCGGACTTTCGAAGCCTGTGGTGAAAAGATGACAGCTGGATTTCACATGTGTTTGGAAAATGGGGGCATCTCCTCCCCCCCCCCATGTTCTGAAGTTTTCTTTCCTCCTCCCAGGGAGAATCACCCCTAACATACATGGGGGAAAGGTAATTTGGAAGCTGTAGTTCATCAGTTTGACTTGCTTCTGGATTCATTAAGCTAATATGCTAATACTGCAGATTTTACAGATCTGTGAAAAAAAAATTCCTCTTACACTTTCAGGGTAGAATCCAGTGACTCAGGCAACAGGATTTTCCTTCACTCTACTCCCACACTGCACCCCTTAAATCTGCTTTAGAGGGTTAGCAAGTGAAAGAGAAGTTCTGTTGCACAAATGAAAGTCATTCCACTCATGAAATGGCTTTGTTGGACCCAGCCATGTGCCTTTCCCATGAAGGCAATGCATGTATCTGCAAAAACCTAGCAAAACTATTACGTGAATCAGCTCTAAAAAAGAGATTCAGGAAGAAGGCACATTTTGAATATTGCTGGGTAGAAATTGGTTTTTACATGTGCAATTGTTTTTAATTGCTTATCTATATGGAATTGTTTTTACACATGGAACAGTTTTAATTATTTATTTGGTGTAAAATCACTTTAACATATTTAATGGAAGGAAATTCATAAATGGAATAAAATAAAATGGAATTCCTGTGCGAATGAAGAGAACTAAAATGAACCCAAACTTTGGCAACACAAAGTGCAAGCAGAAAGTAAGGGATGCTAAAAAAGATTTTTAGGACCACATTGCTAAAAGCATGAAGACCAACAACAAGAAGCTCTTTAAATATATTAGTAGCAGGAAACCATCTAGGGAATCGGTGGATCCTTGGATGAGAAGGGAGTCGAAGACATGATAAAGGAGGATAAGGAGATTGTGGAGAATGTGAATCAATTCTTTCTATCTGTCTTCACTGTGGAAGACATATGGCAGATCACAGTGCCTGAACTAACTTTTGCAAGAAGGGAGTTTGAGGAAGATAGTGGTGATGAGACATGAAGTTCTAGGCCTGGTAGACAAACTAAAAACTGGTAAATTGTCGGGTCCAGATGGCACCCTCCTGAGAGTTCTCAAATAATTCAAATGTTAAATTGCTGATCTTCTAATAAAAATATGTAACTTGTCCCTAAGATAAGTCTCTATATCTGAGCGTTTTCCATCACTGTGCAAAAGGATTACGTTATCAAGGGATAACAATAGGACTTAACACTGGATATGGATGGAGT